AGTGCTGTGTACAAAAATACAGAAATAAATGCCATACAGAAACACAGATAACAAATTGCAAAACAGTCCATAAAATAGGAGAAAACATAAGAAATCCTTAAATATATTTACCCCTTATATATAATTCTTGGGAGATTTAGATGTTACAGGTCTCCAAGTAGTTGTTGAAAAGAGAAATCTCAGCCTGGATAATCCCACATTCCTGGGTGGATCAGAGGGGTTTGGCCTGGCAGTTTATTGCCCACTCCATATTTTCCTAACTTATGTTGTCCTTTGAAGAACCCAAAGTCAGATCACATGCACCAATACCTTTAAGATGCCCTATGTCCAGCTCTGGTGATGGTTATCTAGTAGTTTTATGGTTTATGACTGGTGTAAGCGTACAATAAATGTTATCCCAATGTTTACAAAAACAACTCATAACATATATCAAATGCCAACTCAAATGGCTAACTGGTTTAGTGATAAGATTCCGTAATTAGGACCATCATAATTGTCAGCTACAAGGCCAATTGGGTCTTAATCCGGCCCTGCCTCTAACAGTAAGTCACACTTATAATGATAAGATCAATATGGTACAGGCAGACAACAGTAGATGCGTGAGCTGTTCACACAAACTGAGTGGTGATAGAGATAAGTTTAAAACAAGTAGCACTTGTATTTTTAAACAGAGACCAGCAAATTGCAACAGCTACATTGAAGAGGAATGTGGCAGTTGAGATAGTCTAGAGCAGGGTTAGTCAACCTTTTAATACCTACTGCCCACTTTTGTATCTTTGTTGATGTTAAACTTTCCTTACTGCCCACCAGTGCCACAGTAATTAATTTTAAAGTGCGATAAAAAAAAAAAATATATATATATATCTATCTATATATATATAGATAGATATATATTTTTAGAAACGAGGGTTTAATAAATAAATAAATAAATTCTATTCTACTTTTTTTTTTACGTGTGTCTGTGAGGTGCTGTTCTGTGTGTGTTTGTGTGCAAAGGGTGTAGTGTGTGTGTGTGTGTGAGGGGGCAGTGTTTGTGTGTGAGATGGGGAGTGTGTGTGTGTGAGAGGGGGCAGTGTGTGTGTGTGAGAGGGGGGCAGTGTGTGTGTGAGAGAGGGCGCAGTGTGTGTGTGTGTGTGTGTGAGAGAGGGGGCAGTGTTAGTGTCTGAGAGAGGGGCAGTGTGTGTGTGTGTGAGTGAGTGTGTGTGTGTGTGAGGGGCAGTGTGTGTGTGTGAGTGAGGGGCAGTGTGTGTGTGTGTGAGTGAGGGGGCAGTGTGTGTGTGTGAGTGAGGGGGAGTGTGTGTGAGTGAGTGAGTGAGGGGGAGTGTGTGAGTGAGGGTGGCAGTGTGTGTGAGTGAGGGGGGCAGTGTTAGAGTGAGGCTGACTAAGTGCCAGGGATTACAACAAGGCTTATGAGGAAGATTACAGCATGGCTGGCTCTGCATTGGCTGGCAGGGGCGATTAAAGGATATCCCCTGCTGGCCTTGGTCCACAGCCATCGATGCCCACCGGGCATTTTCTGCAGAACCCACCACCACCCACCTAAAATCCCAAACCGCCCAGTAGTGGGCCGTAGGGACCAGGTTGACTACCCTTGGTCTAGAGGTAAGAAATAGATTTAAGGATGATTTTAAAGAAGACTGTTAATTAGTTTAGAACCCCACATAAACTGTATGTGACAATTATTCTCCCTTCTCCAAGCAATGCATATAAGGCTGCAGCCACAATTCAAACAGAAATACAGTCAGTTGTCTTTAGTAAACGCCAGCCATTATCATTAATCACAGTGATGTCTACGAACTGAACAAAATTCAATCACATGAAGTGAATGCCAGTGGGGGTCATAAGAGCCCCGTCACAACTGCCTAACCCAAAATATATAATTAGGAAAAAGGGTCCTCTGAATAAGAAGAAATGTGGGGAGTCCAGAATTTTAAAACTGTATATACTTTATCCTATTGACAAACGAAAGTGAAACACAGATATCTACATAAAATCAGAAAAAATAGCAGAGGCGGAAAACAATTGAAGTGATTCCAAATTATAGGTTGGGGAGTAGAATGAAAAATAAGTTAAATCCCAAGCTTTAAATTGTAGGATGGGGAAGAGTGTAAAGAATCGTTTTAATATAGCTTTAAAGGTCCAAAGGAAGCATTAGCTCTGAATAGTAGTAACAATCTGACTTACACAGACATCAATAAGGGGAGAAAAGGGACAGTAAACATGAGAGACACACTTATCATTAGTCCTTACTATGCCAACAGATTTGATTTATTTTATGATTGCAAGCTTGTAGGTGCTGCCCCAATATGGAAACTATGGACAAGTCTTAACTGATATATATATGACAGATAGACAGATAGACAAATGTTGGGAACTAACAAATTGTACAAAATCATCTGGGTTTGAAAATAAATTTCTAGCACAATGCAGAATTAGTTTGCAATGCTCTTTCAACTGAGTCCAATCTGCTTTCTAGTGATTGGTCCTGTTTGAGCATTAAGATGACTTATTCCCGTTTGATACAATGGAAAATTGCTTCCTGTGCATTGCTGAAAAGAAGCAAATGCAATTTCAGAACACAGAAACTGCTACATCTATACTAGAATCACTGGGCTCTTTAAGAGGAATCTGCTTTTCATCCATAGGTTTTCTTTAAAGGGACAACTGTCTCATTCAGTTTTCATTCATCTAGCTTTCAATGAGACAGTTGCCTCACTCTGCACTCTGAATATTAAAAAGGTTTAGTTGAGTTACTAACAACGCTAATTATCTTTAATTATGTTTGATTGTTTTATTGCACACTGTATTTAAAGGTTCAATGTTCTTTGTGGTATTAGCTTGACAAAGACTTTTGTGAAGGTCGAAAGGTTGCTGTGCACAAGATGGTCCAATAACCTGCATTTTGTAGAGCACAGTGAGTGCCTGAGGCTTTTTTATTTGTTAAATATCATATGTATGATTGTGCTGGCCCTTGCTCACTTAAAGGGAAACTATAGTGCCATGAAAACAAAGTTTCTTTCCTTGAACTATAGCTCTCTATAGTCCACACTCCCCCTCCATGGTGCAGAAGGGGATAAAAACCCCTTCTGTCACTCACCTGATTCCAGTGTCCGTGTTCAAAGTCCCTCGGTGCTGGTTCAGACTCCGCCTCTGCTAATGTGCACGCGCGGCGATAGACACTGCACCCAGACAACTTCAATGAACTGAAATCGTCTGGGTGCCTATAGTGTCTCTTTAAGCACCCTGTGGACGCTTCTTTTTTTGTGAGTATCTTAAGTAGATGAGAAAAAAACTGATGCACACGGAATAAGTATGGACAAGTGTATAAATCTAAAACATGAGATGTTTCATGACTGATTGCTCCACCTCCTTATAATAGTATGCTGTAGATTTCACTGCTTCATCTCACTTAACTGATTTATCAGGTTAGTGGTACTTTTAAATTATAGAGAATATCTTTATAAAATATAGATAAAATAGAACATGGTGGGTGCTAAATGACTAAAACTTAGCTCATGATAAAAATGTGAAATTGTCTCTAAGGACACCTCTAATGGTTGCCACTCAGACAGCCACTAGAGGTGATTCCTATTACGGCTATGAAATATGCACAAGAACTCAACACTCCCCACAGAGATGCATTGGGATGATGCATCTCTGTGAGGTCATGCTGGTTGGTGCAGTGTGTGACCTACTGTGCATACACACTAGACTACCAATTCTTCTTTAAAGAGTCTGAAATCATTAATAACGAAGAAGTCATCCGGGCAAGAAGCAGTAGCTGCGGAAAGACCAGCTTGTCAGACTTCTGTATTTCAGGTTTACAGGGCCGAGAAGATCTAAATATGCTGGAGAATTCTTGTTAGTATTCCATGTTTGCATATCTAATATTAGTGTGCTACATTACACATAACATCTGTCAAAAAGAGGTTAAAAAGAGAAGCTTAACATAATATAACAGGTACCAAACAAATGTCATTTTATGCAACAGTTTTGCTTTGTATATTTATTTGTCCCTGAAATACTCTCATTATGCATTTTACTGTAGTGTCTATCAGAGGTAAACTTACCTAAGCACAATTTCTAGAGGCTTCCCAACAGCCAGCAATAGGTCAACGTTGCAAGATATTTCATTTTCTTTTTCTTTCATGTTCAATAAAACTGACCTGATTATTCTTTCTCAAGGTCAGCTCAAGTATAAATGGCATTGATCCATGACACATTTAGCTGCTAGTTTTCATTTCAGACTATTTTCTCTTTTTTTGAACTGAATAGTAAAACTGTTAAAATGTCACATATCAATACTAGTAAATTAAACTTGAAGTAAAATGTAAATTTACTGTAATAAATGTTATCACTGTCAATATTTTAGAAATTATAGACTGGCCTTTGTTTTTTCCCAAAATAATGTTTCCTATCAAACTTTTATGCCCCTGGTCATAGTTATATTTATTGTACAGTAATATATGTGTGTATATATATATATATATATACACACACACACACACACAGGTGGGTGGTCTTCGTTTTACGACCTACCTGTTTTCCGACAACTCGCACTTACGACCCTCTCTCTCTCGCGGGGTGTTAAGTGCGAGCCACCGTGGGAATTAGAGGGATTCCCTGATCTGCTGTGTTCGCCTATGTTCGGAGTCATTCCCCGAACATAGACAAACGCAACAAAGCAGGGAATCCCTCTAATCTACGTTCAGGGAAATTTCCCCGAGCATAGATTAGAGGGATTCCCTGCTCTTGTGCGTTTGTCTATGTTCGGGGAAATGTTCCTGAACACAGACATGCGCACCAGAGCAGGGAATCCCTTAAATCTATGTTCTGGGAAATTTGCCGTACATAGATTAGAGGGATTCCGTGCTCTGGTGTGTTCGGGGAAATTTCCCTGAATGTATACAAGCGCACCAGAGCAGGGAATCCCTTAACTCCTCAATTACCGACCAATTCGTTCTACGACCGGGTCGTAGGAAACGAACCCGGTCATTAAGTGAGGAGTGCCTGTGTGTGTGTGTGTATATATGTATGTGTATATATTTATATATATATATATATATGTATATATATATATATATATATATACACACACACACAGGTACTCCTCACGAACCCAGTCAGTAAGTGTATATATCAAATTGATGGAAAAAAGATAATTGCCACTAAATGTTGAATATAGTTTTTAGATAAATGTAATTTTAGTAAGTACTAGGTTATGTGCCGGTGTCCCCCAAATCACTGTGAGTGACTCCACTGTACATGAAATCAAAGAGAGCCTAACTAGATCACTGTACTGATTTTATGGTAAAACTAGAGTCTCCCAATATGGTAATAGTTGTATAGTCTTAGATTATGCTTGCCAGTATAGCAGGGACTCCATTACTGATTAGACCATGGTGTGCAAAGAATTCCCTGCGTCCTGATACAAAACCATATGAGTCAAGATAAGCATTGATAGCATATTACTTTATAATTGAATAATCTGCTGTAGTACCTAAAAAGAAGTCTGCTTTAAATGTATCCAAATTAAAATGTGGATTAAAGGGTTACCTTTAGGAAGTTTTAGAAACTGAATCTTGTGCTAATAAAACCTCTAATAAATATATAAAATACATTGCAGTAAATGTCAGCAGGCGCATTCTGCATCCGACTCTATAAATGCTTTTGAGTGGATCTAGCAAGTGGGCGTCCAGTCCCCTTGACCCTGCAATAATAATTATTTACGTTATTAAGAAACTGCAATAATTACTTTTGGTTGCCTAACGGATGCTGGACATCCTCACGCTATGCATGAGGACATCCTGAGTCACCCAAACCCCATAGGAAAGCATTATACAATGCATGCACATTAGGTCCCTAATGTTGGGGAAGCAGGACCCCTGGTGGAGTCTGACCCAGCGTTGTTGACCCTCGGATTCAGGGTAGTGATTGAAGGGATTTCTGCTGCATGGGGGTCGCAGCAGCGAGGGAAGTGCTACAGGCAGCTATAGTTGCTAGGAATACAAGTTTGTAGCCTATAGTTTCCCTTTAATAACAGAATATCTACGACTTATGGTTTTCTATTATATGAGATCATGTCATATTTGCATGATATGCAATATAGAGTGGAACAATCACCTTTTTTGTTGGGGAAAAGGTTGTGTTTTTAAATACAAGAGAACAAATTAGAAATGTTTGGTGAAATAAAGAGTGAAGGATAAGAACAAAAAACTCCCAATCAACACATGACCTTTATATTGAATTAGTTAGAGGTGTTGGCAGAATAAAAAGGTAAATGCAAGATGGATGCATGATAAAAACAACTGATATAAAACTATATTTGTTTTGATAGAATAACATTATTTGGACGACCGAAATCCTGGATCTAAAACTTAATATCCTGCGTTTTTACAGCTATTTGTGGAAATCCTTCCAGAAACGGTTTTGAATTGGCTTTTAAGTAATAAACATTAAAAGCCAATCAAGGTAAAACAAAATTAAATGCATATTACATAATTTATTTACCAAGTAACGATATAGTAATACTTTATTTTCTCCACAAAAGCAAGCAAACCACTATTAGAAACAGAGATGACAGTGATAGTTAATAGAAGCTAACATGTTAATGACTATGCATGTAAAAATAAAACATGAGTTTTAATTTTATAAAAGATATGGGTAAATATTTTGAACTGCTAATCTTTAAAGGGATAGCCTAAATGCCATAAACATTATAGAGAGGTGTATTGGTTATGGTTTCAAAAGTCCCTGGATGATGCCCCCAGGTAAGTCATATAATTTTTGCAAGGTTTAACACTTACCTAAAGGATCCAGGTGTTTACTGTCCATCTCCACTTCTAATATTGTTATGGAAGATATTCTACTAGTGGACTAAGTGCCATCAATTATTATTATTATTATCTATAACGTGCAAACTTCAAATGAGTTTACATGCTAGAGGGAGTGGGGTATAGTGACACAAAAAGGTAAGCATAGGCTAGAAAAGAAGGTAGCTGTTATAGTTTTCAATAAGGGCTTAGTGATTTTTTTGTGTTTCTTTTTTTAATGACAGTTGCAGGAGAGGAAGCAAGGTGCGGGGAGGGAAAGCTATTAACAGTTCAATTGATATGCTTTCCTGAAGACAGGGCCGCCATCAGGGGGTGACAACCAGAACCAGACAACCATGTGGAGTGGAGAAACTGCCGCAGGTGCAGTTGCACCAGGGCCCATCAGGTGGCCCAAGCATTTAGGGCCACCGATGGGCCCTATAATCTTCAGGGGCCCGGTCAGCACTGCGGCCAGGTAATTGCGCGACCGGGCCCCTTTAAAAAAATAGAAGATTGCAGCTGCACCACAAATGCTGCTGGGAGGAAGTGACAGCCGGTCACTTCCTCCCAGCTTACTCCGCGGCGCGGGGGGAGAGCAGCGGGGGAGCTGAGGAGAGGGAGAGCAGAGGCCAGGAGAGCAGAGGCCCATCATCCTCAGCCACCTTCCTGTAACTTAAAGGTAAGAGGAGGGTGGCTGATAAATGAACTGTGTGTGAGTGTATATATATGTATGTCAGTATATATGTCTGTGTATGTCAGTATGTCTGTGTGTGTGTGTGTGTGTGTGTGTGTCAGTATGTATATATGTCGGTGTGTGTGTATGTCAGTATGTATATATGTCTGTATGTATGTCTGTGTGTATGTCAGTATGTATATATGTCTGTCAATATGTATGTCTGTGTGTCTGTGTATGTCAGTATGCATGTATGTCTGTGTGTGTGTGTGTGTCAGTATGTATATGTATGTATGTCAGTATGCATTTATGTCTGTGTGTGTCAGTATGTATGTGTGTATGTATGTATGTCAGTATGCATGTATGTCTGTGTGTGTATGTCAGTATGTGTCTATCTGTATGTGTGTGTGTGTATGTCAGTATGTATATATGTCTGTATGTATGTCTGTGTGTATGTCAGTATGTATGTCTGTCTGTGTGTGTATGTCAGTATGTATATGTGTGTGTCAGTATGTCTGTATGTATGTCTGTATGTATGTCAGTATGCATGTATGTCTGTATGTGTCTGTTTGTGTGTGTGTATGTCAGTATGTATATATGTCTGTATGTATGCATGTATGTCTGTGTGTATGTCAGTATGTATATCTGTGTGTGTATGTCAGTATGTATATGTCTGTGTCAGTATGTCTGTATGTATGTATGTATGTATGTCAGTATGCATGTATGTCTGTATGTGTCTGTTTGTGTGTATGTCAGTATGTATATATGTCTGTATGTATGTATGTCAGTATGGATATATGTGTGTGTGTGTCAGTATGTTTGTATGTCAGTATGCATGTATGTTTGTGTGTATGTCAGTATGCCTGTATGTGTCTATCTGTATGTGTGTGTATGTCAGTATGCATGTACGTATGCGTGCATGTATACATCTCTCAGTATGTATGTCAGTATGCATGTATGCCTGTGTGTCTGTGTGTATGTCAGTATGTATATATGTCTGTGTGTGTGTGTGTGTGTGTATGTCAATATGTATATATGTCTGAGTGTGTATATGTCAGTATGTATATATGTCTGTGTGTATGTCAGTTTGTATATATGTTTGTATGTATGTGTGTGTGTATGTCAGTGTATATGTGTGTGTGTCAGTATGCATGTATGTTTGTGTGTGTATGTCAGTATGTATATATGTATGCGTGTGTCAGTATGTATGTATGGCAGTATGCATGTATGTCTGTGTGTGTGTCAAAATGTATGTGTGTATGTCAGTATGTATGTCTGTGTGTATGTCAGTATGTATATATGTCTGTGTGTGTATGTCAGTATGTATATATGTCTGTGTGTGTGTATGTCAGAATGTATGTCTGTGTGTATGTCAGTATGTATATATGTCTGTGTATGTCAGTGTGTATGTATGTCTGTATATGTGTCTGCAAGTATGTATGAATGTCTGTATGTCTGTGTGTGTGTGTCAGTATGTATATATGTCTGTGTGTGTCAGTATGTATGTGTGTGTGTGTATGTCAGTATGTATGCATGTCAGTATGTCTGTATGTGTCTATCTGTATGTGTGTGTATGTCAGTATGTATATATGTCTGTATGTCAGTATGTATGTCTGTGTGTGTAAGTATGTATGTATGTATGTCAGTATGCATGTATGTCTGTGTCTATCTGTGTGTATGTCAGTATGTATATATGTCTGTATGTATGTGTGTATGTATATATCTATCAGTATGTATGTCAGTATGCATATATGTCTGTGTGTGTCAGTATGTCTGTATGTATCTGTGTATGTATATATCTATCTGTGTATGTATGTATATTAGTATGTATGTTTATGTATGCCATTATGTATGTATGTCAGTATGTATTTATGTGTATGCAAGTGAGTTTGTATGTGTCTGTTTGTCAGTATGTGTGTGTGTGTGTGTGTGTGTGTGTGTGTGTGTGTGTGTGTGTCTGTATGTCAGTATGTGTGTGTATCTGTGTCTATATGTGTGTATGTCTGTTTCAGTAATTGTGTCTGTTAGTATGTGTGTATCTTTCTGTGTGTGTGTCTGTGTCCTTTTGTGTCTGTGTGTGTGTGTTCCTGTAGGTGGGATTTGGAGGCGGGCACCCTGGGGCCCAGACTTTGAGCTGTGTTAGGGGCCCCACAATTTCTAATGGCGGCCCTGCCTGAAGAAGTGATGTTTAATCATTTTTTGTAGGAATGGAGACTGGGTGACAATCTAACCCACAGGAACAGTGCAGTCCTAGAAAAGTTTTGGATGTGAACATCAGAGGTGAGAGCATAAACAGAGGCTATATGCAAGTCTTTGGCAGAGTGTAGGGGCCTATATGGGACATGTTTTTTATTAGTGGGGTAGGTGGGTAATAGTAGGTTTATGTAGAGATTGGTAAGCAAGTACCAGAAATTTAGTTTGAGCCCTATATCTTATGGGAGCAAGTGTATGGACTGACAGAGAGAAGAAGGGGGGGGATTTGGGATGTGCGGGTGGACATTAATATAAGCTTGTACTAAATTATTGGTTGAGATGATCAGCTCTTAGCTAAATCCATACAAATGAGAACAAAACTGATATTGCTATTGATGACGGCAAGCTTCCACTTTAGATATAGAGTGGGCTGTAT